TATTAGCTTTATTACAGCATCACATCTTCACTATGCAGACGGTGACTGGCATCTGGTTCACACTCAAAAATGTTTCCTGAATAAATAACTGGGCAGGGACAGGCATTCCCACAGTGAGCTACTCAGAAACTACAGTCGAGAAAATATAAATCCAGAAGGAGTCGTGGGGGTTTATAGCTCCTTCTCTGCTCCCCTAAGAATAACCGAGGATGGCATGAATGTTGAAGGAGGGAGGGTGAGGTGAGAGACTCAATCTGATAGCTCAATTCCAGGCAGTCTAGAAGATTCATTCTCTGATGCCTGGATGAAGGCAATGGGTTTAAGCCAAGAAGATCATTAGCAATTTGCATTTCTGCAAGCCACATCACTCTTGTATCTTGCAGAACTGAGAAACTTGCTTCTAACTGGCAAATTAAATATTGATAATGTAGATAGGCTGAACAGCATCGTTCAAAAGGCTGGTACCCTGATTTCCGTGTTTTTAAAACTTCAGCCATTTGCATCCAACTACCAGCAGTTTTGTCATAACTCTGGGCCATCAGTAACATTGTGCTCATATTCACCTTGAAAGCTTCTCATTTTTTAACCCAAATGGATGTATTTGCCAAGGAAATCTGGCATTGCCACTGCAAACAGAATACCATTATCAGTAACTTCAAATAACGTTTATAGGGGAAAATAAACAGAACTACTGAAATTTAACATTATTAAAAATGTTTCCTATGCAAATATCTGTGCTAAACACACCCATTGCATTCATTGTTTAACCTTTGTGCACACACAGGCTCGGTGGTTTGTATACTTGGTGCAGCTCTCAGAGGAAGGGGAACCTTTCAACAGTTGAGACTGGTTCCAGGATGTGGACTGCTGGGTGGCAGGGCTTGAGAGCTATAGTCTATCTCCACTCCCTGCTGGAGCGTTCTCTGCTTTTTGACACACCTAAGTGTAACAACAGGGCACACAACACGCTCCATTCCCATGCTTTGTCTGCCACAATGGACTTCATCTCCCCAACCATCGGACAAAAGAAATTCTCTCTTACATTGATTTCTGCCAAGTACTCTGTCAGGTAGAAAAATAACTAACACACATGTAACCTGTGTGTGTATGTATATACACACATGCCCAGACAAACCTGATAAAACAGGCATAATTATTGTCTCCAATGAACCACACAAGGAACTGAACGTCCAGAGGATTTACAAACTATGAGAAAATGCACAAGTGCACAAACCCTGCAAAGTTTAGACGTCATTGCACTGGGCCTAGCTCTAGGCCCCTAATTCTTGACTGCTATATTTTGCAAACAATACTTTTGAAGTTGGCATAGATGCTCAGGCTGCTGCAGGCTTAAAGCCTGAGGCACACTCCCTCTCTGTTATAAAGAAAGCTTAGAAAGTGTTACAGCCTTGTTGAATCTCTTTTAGTTTAAACTAAGACTTCCTCATTGACATAAAAAAGGATTGAGAGAGAATTGAAAAAGGAATAACTTTTTCTCTAAGTGTTTCACCCTTTCTGAAAGACTTGGTGTTTGGCGCTCTGAAAATGTTATTCCACAGAGTGAGCATTCCACAGGCTGAGAAACGCAATGCCCCAAGTTCAGTGTAGCACATATTTCCCAGGATCCTTTGTTCAGCTCTCGTCTCCATGTTGAGAAGGTCTCACTGTACCCGGTAGTCAGTGCCTCTTTTCCCCTATAATATTCAACCCCTTAACACACAAGGGTAGAGGTTGGTGAGTTTTCTTATATTATCTGAGAGGGTCACAGTGAAACTGATTCAGAGGCCTAGATGTTGAAATGCTTATATATAAAAAAGTAGAGTGTTTTGATTGTCATGACTACTAAAATGAAGAAAGTGGGGGAGGGTGAAGAGGAGTAGGATGGAGAAGAGGAAGAAGGAGGAAGAGGGAAAAGAAAAATAGGGAGAATAGGAGGAAGAAGAGAAGAGGAGGAAAAGGGAGAAGAGGAGGAGAAAAAAGAAGAGGAGGAAGCAGAAGGAGAAGAGGAAGAATGAAGAGGAGGAGGAGGGGTAAGAGAAGATGGAAAGGAAGAGATGGGACACTGCAGATCTATATTGAATTTCAATAACCAGAAAAGAGTTAGAAGGGAAGAGAGTGTAAATGGACAAGACAGAGGAAAATGACCACACATAAGACTGAGCCATCAAAATTGAGAGCAGGATGTGGTGACCCAGGCCTGTAAGTTCCAGTACCTCTGATGCAGAGGCAGTAGGCCTGCCAAATGTTCAGCACTTGCCTGAGTACATAGGAAGTTTGGGGCCAACTGAGTCACCCACTGAGATGTTGACTTAAATACAAAGGCTAAGAAGATAGCCTAATTCATAAGACTTGCAGGAACGAGGTCCTGAGTTTGATCTCCAGAATCCAGATTCAAAAATCAGGTTGTAGCTGGGCGGTGGTGGCGCATGCCTTTAATCCCAGCACTCGGGAGGCAGAGGCAGGCGGATCTCTGTGAGTTCGAGGCCAGCCTGGTCTACAAGAGCTAGTTCCAGGACAGGAACCAAAAACTACAGAGAAACGCTGTCTCGAAAATCAAAAAAAAAAAAAATCGGGTTGTAGTGACTGATTTGCAGTCGTAGTGCTTGTGAGGCAGAGGCAGGAACATCCCTGAAACTTGCTGGCCTGCCAGCCTAGACTACTTAAGCATCAAGCTAGTGACTAAAAGAAGAAAAAAGCAAGATATGTGATACCTGAGAAATGAAGTCAAAGTTGTTTCCTGACTTTCACATGCGTGCGCCCTCACAGTCTGACCCACCACACTCGTAGGAGAGACAATGAGGTATCTAACAGTATGTTCTAACATGGAGGAGGTTCCCTGTAGGAAATGGATACCTGAGTCAAATGGAAAAAGAAAACTTTGGATGCATTCTCTTTGGTGACAATACTGAGCTGTATAAATGTTGATTTTATTAATTGCAAAGTTGTATTATTGATATGAAACATGAATTAGTTTAAAATTCTGAAATCGGGGTGCAAACAATAACCTCAAATAAAGCAGCCATTTGTGATGGTAGAGATGGGCTGGACGCTTTGGGGAGGGTGGTTCCTGAGGCTACAGATGGCTCTCAACTAAATAATCCATCATATGGAGTACATAGCTTTACCATCTGACAAAGAACACCCTCCTTGCTTCTATATTGCACCCCGTGGACACTGCCCTCATCAAACCATCAAGCCCTCAAACCGCAGACAAGCTCTTCTTCGTCCTCTGTACCCTTAATTTCCCAAGGCAGCATCATTTGCAATAGAGAGCTCAGTGCTCTCTGAATTCTGGGGACTGTGTCAGAACCTCATAACGACATAAGCATCCATTGCTCTTTATCTAGCCCTGACCTACTTCTGGCCATCCTCCTCATCCTAACAGCAGATGAAAAGCTGAAATCACAATACATTATTTACTAGGATAAAGCACTCACTCAGGTTGCAGGGAGAAAGCAGTAGGAGAGTTCAGTAAAGCTTAAAACAAAAATCATTTAAATTACAGAGACAGTGTCTCAGGAGGCCCACAGTAGCCTTAAGACTTGCTTGCATCCCTTTATAGCCAAGGATTACCTTGAATTTCTGATCTTCCCACCACTACCTCTTGGGTGCTAGGACCATAGCTTTGTGCTACCACACCAAGTTTATGTCAAGCAAGGCTTCATACACGCCAGTCCAGTGATCTACCAGTGAACTCCATCCTCAGCCAACAAATGTCCCAGCGTCTGTCTCATGCGGAAATCACACTAATGGGAGAAGAAATGTGGACTGAAATGAAACATTAATAGAGGCCTGGGTGGGACATTCTACAAAACATATAAGCATAACAAGAAACAAAAGCTCTGGCCACCATCTCAGCTTCATACAGGTGAACTCATTGTTTGCTTGATACAGGATTTAACACACCAAATGATATATGCAATTAGAAAACAGAAAGAATGTTAGGAGTCCTGGTCACCTGGAGATGGCAGCTCAGCCAATGTCCTTAGATGTAACTAAGGCATTAAATTTACAAAGGCATTAAATTCATTTACTGCATATTTACTCAAGCACTTCGGAGTACCGTGGTCCCCAGGCCTCCAGCTCAAACACTGCTATGCTATGTTTTGAAAAGCCACAGATTCCATTAGTTTTCATAGCGATCTGAAAATACAGCTAAGTCACATGGTCCAGTGAGAATGACAGGTCCCTAGCAGTGACATCAAAGAGTGTTCAGTTATAACCTTAAACTGTGCTCCCAAATATGAGCATGCTTCAGAAACAAATGGAGCACAGAGGCAAGGAATCCAGGTATTTCATAAAATTCCACAAAAGTTCATGCACATAAGGACAGCCAACCAAGATACAATGAAAGCAAAACGGTATCACTGAGAGAAAAAACAAAACCAAACAAAACCCAAGATTCTCCTTTTCCATGGAAAACGTTCATGCAACTGATACCCTGGAGTCTGCAGACTCACTTTTAAGTAACAGAACAAGCCACAAAGTTTAACATTCTGGCTTCATCTCCCCTGTATACAAATGACACCAAAATCCAAACCTTATGGAAAATTCAAATTCTCCTTGAAAAGGAAAAAGCCTTGATAGAGGTGCTTCTTACTGACCCCAGTCCATCACAACAGTGCGTTTTAATCGCTCAGCAAACAGCTGGGAACTCACATTAGGAAGGCAGCAGAGTCCCTGTGAACTTTGTGATCACTTAGACCTCATGTTGTACATAAAGAGAGTCCAATGATTTCAAACAAATTCCGCAAGAGAAGTATTTATCGCCGAATCTAAATCAAAAAATCCATATATACTATAATGGCACTTCAAAAGAAGATCTACTGTATTTACCAGCTCAATCAATACAAAATTAGCTGGGATAAATATTGCCAGCTCTACCCGTCTTGAGATGAAGCCTATTATTTAGACTCTGGGTCTCGAAAGAGACAAGGGCATTTTTGCTTATCCCGCAGAAATAGGAAGCAAGAAGCCTGTTATAAGCGGATTGCACCTACCCTCAGCTGCTCTCTTTCACAATTCATCTGTTGACTCAAAACCTGCAGAAAAGAGAAAAAGGGGAGAGTGTCAGAAGGCTCTATGGAAACAACAGCATAAAAGCAAGGGACTGGGGAGTGGCTCAAGATGATTCCTGCAACCCACATAAATCCTGGTTGTGTGCATTGAGATGAGATGGCTCAGTGGATAAAGTCACTTGTCTTCAAGCCTCCGGACCTGAAGTCAATTCCCAGAAGCCACATGGTGAGAGCATAAGAACAACTCTGACTCCTTATCTACAGGTGTATCATATACCAACATATACGTAGGTGTATGCCCACACACAATAAATTATACACTATGATAAATTTTTTAAAATGAGCAAGGTAGAAGACTAATGGAGATTCTGGACATCAACCTAGGGCCTCCACAGACACATGCACATGCGTCTCCCCACACAGTTATGTCCACACACGTGTGAACACGTAAGTACACATGTACATTGACATACACAACTACGCTCACTCAAGCACATATAAACATATCACATATACATATGCACATGAAAAGAAGAGGGGAAAACAGAAGAAAAATAGTTACTTTTGATGGTTGGTCTCAACAAAGACCTAGAATTCACAGCAATAATTACCTTTTCTCTAGGTTCAGACAGTGGACCTTTTGCTATCATTCTATATTGTACAATCCAGAAGTAGGTACCAAGGGTGTGAAGCATCTTTAAGGGGATGGTACAGAAATGCAAGAGAAGATGGGGCAGTCTAAAAAACATGGGGTTTCTTCTTTGTCCATATACCCTTCTAGTCCTGTTTAAGAGGCACACACGGTCTTTCCTTAAAGCTGTATTAAGTTGGGTGTGACAAGAAAACCAATATAGTGTCTTGCCCAAGGTCAAGTGCTGGCAATGTTATCCGCTTGCCCTGGAAAGAAGATTTCATTTAATTATCTAGTTCTCTCTTATTATTTCTGTTTGTATGTGGTTCTGAAGTTTGAATTAGGTATTTCACGTATGCTAAGCAAGGGCTTCCCCTCTAAATTATACCTAGATTTCTCCTCACTAGTTATATTGAGACTTATGTTACCTTGTGATCCAGTCTAACCTTGAACACATTACATCATCCGACCAGGCCTTCAACTTGTTATCCTTCTACTTCAGTCTCCAGAGATACTGGGATAGCAGACAAGGCTTGATGATTGAGCCTAATCAGAGGCAGAAAGACAGAATGTACGGGGATGGTAGTTGGGCAGACCATACAGAGATGACAGTATAAAGGACTGTATGGACATGGTAGTAAGATGGACTGTATGTGGATAATAGATAGATTTCATAGGGAAGGGCCCTAGAATCACCAGGACTTAAAGCAGAAAAAGAAACACTACTCAAAAATTGATATCACCACCACTCCAAAGACAAAGTATTAGTAGTTCCCCTGCCAAACACTGACGGGGTGATGTGTGCCTAACCAATGTGCTTTTCTTACCATGCAAGGAGGTTTTATTAGAGTGACCATATAATTTCTTTTCCAAACAGGCAAAACAGAATGCATTAGCAGAGGATGGCCAGAGAGGTACTTGGATTTAGCTGATTACACAGAAGCCAGAGACAGAAAGGGATACATCCAGGAAAAACTGGTTTATGTCTTCCTTTAACAGAGATGAGTCTTGATGGATGGACTTTCAATGCAAATGGTTAAAATTAAACTATGCCCTGCATTATTGACCGGTTACATCTCCTCTTTCTATTTTTGCTTTTAAACCACTGTAAAAAATCTCTTAACTTCTAGCCTTGACAGGGTACTGGGAGTTCCTTGAAACTTTACTGAAGGACGAGAGCTACAGCAACCAACTCTTGATGTATATTTTATGTGTTTTGTAGTGAAAGTTTCTTTTTACTTTCCCTAAAATAAAATCAAAAATAAGGATGTTTGCTTAGGATACACCTGAGCCTAAAGTCTCTAGATGGGGTGCTATTGTGAGACCTTTCGCCTGGAAATTTACCGCTGGGAAGAACTCTTTCGGTTGGGTTTGCTTTCTTGCTATTTTTGTGATTTTGAGACAGAGTGTCACATATCCCAGACTAGCCTTGAACTAGCCGTGTGGACAATGATGATTCTGAACTCTTGATCTTCCTGCAACCACCTCCTGAGGGCCGAGAGCACAGCTCTGCTCCACCAGGCTCAGGGTCAGTGGTGCTGGGGACCAGATCTGGGTTTTGTGCATTGGTGTTAGGCAAACACTAATTTATATGTAGATATTAATTAACCACATATTATTTATTAGAGATAAGTATATAAATCCTATAATGTATGGCAATAAAAAATTAAACATAAATCACTGATTCTGAGCAAAAACATAACACACAGGACTTAGAATTACAGTTCTGCAAAACAGGTTTGGGAAATAAATCAAAAACCCACTCCAGTTTATAAGAAACAAAACTATAAAAATTCACAAATATTATGGTTTCTATTTTCTGTCAAAAATATAGTTTAATCGATCATTAAAGAGAAAAAATAAGAATGTTTGTCCTCATTTTTAAAACAAAAATTTCCTTATTTAGAAAACAAGGATACAGAAGAGATGTTTTTCAAATTATTAAAAAATAAAGGAGTGTGGCAAGATAAATAAGCAGGAAACTCACAGTGAATTAAACTTGAAACGGTCTCTTTAGATTAGGCCATTATGTGTCTGTAAACATTTATGAAGGAAGAAGGGCAAGTTTGAACGATGCAGCTGGACAAGGGGAGGGGAAGTGAAATTGGGCGACTGCTCTAAAGGTATGGGCTGCCCACTTAATAGCAAACAGGGAACAGGAAAGAAGCCACTGAGGAAGGGCCTGAGCTCTCGGAGAAGATGAAGTAGAATGTGAACCAAAGCCTGATGTCCTCTCCATCCTCACTCTTTCTTGGCAGCTGATCCAAGACAGCCCAGCATTCAGCAGCGAATCAGCACAACACGCCCCAGGAGACCTCAGCAATGAGTGCAGAGGGACAGATACCTGAGTCCTAAGAGAAGCTCTCTAGGTTTATCCTCAGTAAGTGGGGGTTCTCCCTTCCTATTTCCCCCTGCCTCCCTATCACCTCCTCACACTAGTCTCTGGATAATTTCAGGCTGTGTTGGCTATGAGACATGGGGATGATGGGAGGTGCCTAATATGAAGCAGAAGGAGCCCACCTTTATAGCATGACAGCTGTAATCCTAAGAGATTGCCTGCATTCCCTCCTTGCTTCCCTTATCCTTCTTTGCAGTTTGAATATGGAATGACCTCTGTTCCTTGTGGAACAGTAAGCCCAAATCAATCCTTCCTTTTTTGTTTGCTTTCATCAAGGTATTTCATTATAGCTACATAAAAGTAGCAAATATACTGTGTCCACTTAGAGAAGAAAAATGAATGACGCCACAAATGTCCTCGTAGGTGAGGGAAGATAGAAACCCACAAGATCAAGACAATTGTCCAGTCCCAAGGAGGGAACTCAAAGAAATCCACACTGAAATGATGACGATGATGATGAGGACAATGATAAGGATGACGATGACGATGATGACACTGATGAAGATGATGATGATGACGAGGACAGTGATGGCAACAACCAAACTGCTGTGGCAATCTACCTACAAAACACAGAGAGTCTTTGGCAGCACGCTCACCACCTGTGCAGGTCTAATCCGGATGTGGTCTCCTTGCTGAGAGAGGGAATAGAAATGCCTCCACCTCTAACCCAGAACCCATCTCCATTGAGAGACACCCGTAAGAAAAATGTAGTTTTCTCCTTGGAGTCTCTCTGGATATCCAAACACACTTAAGAGTAGGCCCCATGCCGACAAGTAGACAAGTAACACAAAATTAACTAATTGTATTTTTGGAGAGTTTTGTCTCACAATGCTTTGTCTAGGCTTTTAGGTGTTTTGTTTTTGTTTTCTCCCTTACAGATCAGTTCCTTATATGTTACGGTTTCTAGTTTTGCCGCTATGGGTTTTCTGTGTGTGCAAATGAATGTGTCTTGGCATCTGTATGTGTTTCTTGACCATTTTCTTTAGCTTTTATTTTTCCTGTTTGTTTATTTTATCCTATTCTCTTTCTCTTATTTTTATTTTAGCTTATTTTATTATCTTTTTAGATGTCTGTTGCTTTTAATGAGAAAGAGAAAGAAAGGGTGTGGATTTGATGTATGGATGGAGTAGTAAAGAGGATCTGGGAGGAATTGTGGACGGGGAACCATAATTAAAATATACTGTATGAAAAAAACTCTCTCTCTCTCTCTCTCTCTCTCTCTCTCTCTCTCTCTCTCTCCCGTCCTTCCTCTTTCCCTCCCTCCTTCCCTCCCACTTTCTAAGTTACAGTGGAAAAAAGTCCTTGCTGCACACTCATAAAAACTTAAGCTCAGATTCCTAACACCCACATAGCATTTGCGTGGCTGTGTATGCACAGAATTCCAGCACTGTTACTGAGGGAGGCAGGAGGAAGGCTAGGGCTTCAGATTCAGGGAGACATCATGCCTCAAGGAAATAAGGTCAAGAGTAATAGAAAAACATTATCCGCATTTTCGTCTAGCCTCAGCACGCACGTGCGTGTACACACACACACACCTCTACTCTTCCTCCTCTCTTTCCCTTCTTTCCCTCCTTCTCTGTTCCCTCCCCTATCTCACACACATATCTCCTTCCCTCCCTCTTTCTCTCTGTGTCTGTCACACATGCATACATCTGTGTGCGTGCGTGTTTCTCTGTGTGTGTCTGTCTCTCAACACACACACATAAATTGCTGGAAACTTTAAAAAAATCTTTGAAACATGCATAGAAAAATAATTTAAATATACAAGGCAGTAATAGTCCAAATGAATACAGATCTTTCACTTAAAGAAACAGAACAAATTAAAACAAGGAGTTATAGTGGCTAACAGAGCTTGTTGCCCTTCTGGAGAAAAGGAGTTCCCAGGTCACCTCGAGTGGTTCAGGATTCTCTGTAACTCCAGCTCCACCAAATCCAGTGTTCTTTTCTAGCTTCAGTGGGCACGTGCATTCATGTAAACACACACCACGCCACCGT